AAGTCCACTTCGTGTACAGTAATTAACCACTAAGAAGAATATATGCAGTGTATTATTTGTTGAAACTGTACTTCCGAATGGATTTGAAACTGTCTCATTGCTATCTGTTTATCAATAAAACTTTGAAAAAACAAAAAAAAGAAACGATAAATGTTTCAAAAATGAGTGCTTAGAGGTCCCCCAATTACTTTTTAGATCCCTATCTAAAAAGAATTACAGATGATTGTATTTGCTTTAGTCATCTCAGATTAAAGTTAAGTGATTAAGAGGTAGAGTTTGAATTTAGTGTTTTATTGTTTCACTCTATGTTATCTTATATATACTTTGCTAATTTTTTGGCACTGACCACACATTTGTATCTTTTTTTCCTTTGATTTATCAATCAGGAGTTGAAACTGCCTTGTGCTTGGGTAGTTGAATCAAGTGGCATCCTTAATGTTCTAATCAAGCTCTTAGAAGTGGTTCAGCCCTGTCTACAGGCTGCCAAGGAACAAAAAGAGGTTCAGACTCCCAAGTGAGTAACCCTTTAGCTTAGTTTCACCTTTTTTTTGTTCTCTTAGGACTTGACCACTTGGGTTTAGGACCTGAATTGAGCATTTCTGTTGCAGACATAGGGCAAATGTTGCGTTCATTTGTAATTTACAAATAATGAAATACCTGATGAAAAAAAAATAGCGTTTTTCCAATTTATGTAGATTTCTGGCTTACCCAGAAAAATTGTTCTCTCTTGTAGGTGGATCACTCCAGTGTTGCTACTGATTGATTTCTATGAAAAGACTGCTATCTCCTCAAAGAGGAGAGCCCAGATGACTAAGGTGGGTGATGTATAGTGTCTGTGGTTGACAAGATGGATTAGTTGCTTAGGCAAAAGTAGACCAGACAAGAATGTGAGCAATCAAGAAAAAAATGTAAAAGCCTTTAACCAAAGTATAAATTTCTTCAGGGTTCTCATAGCTATCTTTCTTTTCCAACTACAGATTTAGAATTTTTTTTAATTGGGTATCAAACTTACTACCTCATGCTTGCCAGGCAGGCAGGCATTGTGCCACTGAGCTGTATCCCCAGCTCTAGAATTGTTTTCTTATGGCACTACTTGATAAAGGTATTTAGAACTTAGTAGGAAGTAAATATTAAAGGAATATGCTCTTCTGTTATATGAATGAACAAGTATGGAGCAGTGTCTTTAAAGCTGACTCTTTAGATGAACACTACATTATTATAGTAACTCTTTAGAAATACAATTTTTGTTCCAGTGCTTCTCAAGTGAATATTTCTCCTTTGGGGAAAACAAACAAACAGAGATTTTTAAGACAGGGTGGTAGATGGGGGGGTTTGCATAGAGAAATGCTAAGCAGTGGGAGGATATATATACATGAAAGTATGTTCCCAAATTTTCTTAAATGTTCATTAGAATTCTGTTTCCTGGATTAGTTTTAAAAGAAGAAATATGAAGTTACTATGTCTATAATCAACCTTAAAATACAAAAAAAAGGCTTTGTAATTTTCTGTTTAGTACCTACAGTCCAACAGTAACAACTGGCGCTGGTTTGATGACCGCTCTGGGCGCTGGTGTAGTTACAGTGCAAGCAACAACAGCACTATTGATTCTGCCTGGAAATCTGGAGAGACAAGTGTACGATTCACTGCAGGCCGAAGAAGATACACTGTCCAGTTCACTACAATGGTGCAGGTAATAGTTTATACAGTGCTGCACTAGAAAGAGGCAGGTGTACTAGATTTGTCTTTTGGTTTGCTTCTCTCTCAACTGGTAATCCTAGCATGTGAAAGAGAAGGATTTCCAATCCACACACAAACACACACACACACACACACACACCCCTTTGAGACCAGGCCATGCTATGATGTACTTCAGGCTGCTCACTATGTAGCCCAGGACAGCCTTGAACTTGCAGCAATCGTCTTGCCTCAGCCTCCTGAATGCTGGGATTACAGACATTTGCCACCACACTTGGCTACTCCACTTATATACTGTCTTTGTAGTTTTTAACAGAGCTGAGGTTTCTTAAAGTCAATTGTTAAGACCATGAGTTTGTGGCAGTTTGATTCTGTCCTTTCTGGATAGGATTTTCATTCAAGGGATACTAGAAAGTTTAGAAATCCATTATATGAAGTTGTTAATGCCACTTCCTCTCTAGAGTCCTTTGTGTAGTCTCTGTATATATAGGAATGTGATAAATTGCCAAGGTTTCTTCCTTTTGCAGCACTTTGCCAGATAGATCTCCCCTGCCTCCAACCTTTATAATTACTTTGGTAGAGATTTTTGTGTGTGTTTGAATTCCTAGGTTAATGAGGAAACAGGAAATCGACGGCCTGTGATGCTAACTCTCCTCAGGGTACCACGACTGAATAAAAATTCAAAAAACAGCAATGGCCAAGAACTAGAGAAGACTCTGGAAGAATGCAAAGAAATGGATATCAAACGTAAAGAAAATAAAAGCAATGGTATGGGTTTTTAATTTTGAATCTTTTAAGGAGTGTTGTACCTAAAGCTAGTATGCCTTATGGCTTCAGATCTGGCCAGTTTCATTATGAGTGGTTTCATCCAATTATTTAATAAATGTATGTCTTTTCATATGTTCTTAGAGTTGATATTACTTGTGTTTCTTTAATAAGACCCAACCTGTCTGGTTTCTTAGGAGGGAGAGTTGTGGAAGGAAATGTGACGTTAAACTGTAAATTCTCATTTGTAGATCCTCCCTTGACCCTGGAGATCACAAACACTGAAAAAGAAGCAAGCCTGGAAGAAACAAAAATTGGAGAGATGCTGATCCAGGGCCTGACAGAGGATATGGTGACTGTTTTAATACGGGCTTGTGTGAGCATGCTGGGAGTCCCTGTGGACCCAGACACTTTGCATGCCACCCTTCGCCTCTGCCTGAGGCTCACCCGGGACCACAAATATGCCATGATGTTTGCAGAACTGAAAAGTACCCGTATGATCTTGAATTTGACCCAGAGCTCAGGTTTCAATGGATTTACTCCCCTAGTCACCCTTCTCTTACGACACATCATTGAGGACCCCTGCACCCTCCGTCATACTATGGAAAAGGTGAGACTTCTGTGTCTCATGCTAGTTTACCTTCACTTCATGCCTTTATTTTCCTTTGTATCAGAAGATATTTCTGGTTGCTGATTAATGATTGATAGATGGATAGAGCAATTGATTGATACAGACAGACATACTGCATACTCTACCCAGCAATAGTTTTCACCCATATGCCTCAAAGTTTGCTTGTATGTCGTAGATTATCCTATTAAGAGCCTTTTTTAATGTACTATTCAAGATGGTGGCACCTGCGTGTAATCTATGTACTCTAGGAAGCTGTGGTAAAAGTTCAATCCTAGCCAGAACAAATGAGTGAATGAAACCCTGTCTCACAGTTAAAAATAAAAGTGGGCTGGGAGTGTAGCTCAGTACAAAGGCCCTATGCTTAACCCCCAAAACCATATATACACACAAAACTAGAGAATGTTTTCAATACTTAACATGTCATGTTTCTATTTTAGTACTTACCTGGAACTTCCACTCAACAATCTAAGATGCCCTAATTAAGCCAAAAAATGGTTACTAGAAATTTGGGGTACAAAGTTCATGCCTTAAAATTCATTCCTTTATAGGAACTCCTCTCAGACATTTGTCTAAGACCTTTTCAGAATACTACTTTTCTGATTGTGAAAGTATAGCAAAGCTTTGTAAATATGGTCTGTGAGGCACTGTGATAGACACTTTTAGAAATATCCACTTACAGCTCAGATAGCAGTTTACTTTTTTTAAAACTTACTTAGTACAGGGTCTCACTATGTAGATCCACTCATATTGATCCTCTTGTTTTCAGCCTCCCAGGAGCTGGGTTTACAGGCAGGCTCTCCCACGCCCAGTCTCAATCCCCTCAGTGCACCTTGGGGGTAAGGCCGGTAGGGCTTGTGCTGGTGCGGGAGATCAAACCCCATCCTCTGTGCTCTGCCTAAACAGGCACTTTAGTATGCTGAGCTATCTGGCCAGTCCTTCAGATAGCAGTTTATTTCCTTGAGGAAAATTATAAAGCAGTGTAAGAACTGACTTCCTAACTACAAAACATAAAACATTTAGAACATTAACATTAAGACAACAGCAAGGAGATGGGAGTCATATATCTTACTAGTAAAGCTTTCCTCAGTTTTACAAAATTCTCTATCCTAATTTTTTGCAAGGGGGCCAGGAAGATAGTTCAGTAGAATGCCTGGCAAGTGCAAGGTCATGAGTTCAATTCCCGGTACCACAAAAAAAAAAAGCTAATTTTTTGTGAACGGTGTCATGACTCTTAAATGACTTCACTTCCATCTCTTGAGACATTGTTGCCCATATTGGTAAATAGTGTTACAATATGCATTTTTGTGCCTAACTTTGTTCCCGTGATGCAAACCTATAAGCCTAGCACTTGGGAAATTGAGACAGGAGGATCGCTGTGAGTTCTAGACCAGCCTGGGGGCTACAAGAGTGAGCAGAAGGCCAGCCCAATCTACATGATGAGACCCTGTCTCAAAAAAAGAGAAAGATTGTAATTTTTACACAGGATTAATGATTAGATCAAAAGGTCTATGTTTTATATTTGCTTGCCAGAGTTGGTGGTATAAATTTATACTTCGATTGTGTATATGAGTATACATGTCTGAGTCTTCACTCAGCCTTTTTTATTTTGCCTCACATGTGCAAAACCAAGAGAACTACTGAAGATAGGATGTGTCATAATCCAAGGTCAAAAGATAGCTCAGCGGTAAATCAACAGCTCTGTGCAGTCAGACTTTGGAAGCTTATACAACTTAAAAATGGTGTGATTAAATGTAGTTCCTTTTTGGTTGGCCAAAACTTTCAAAGCTTTAATAATGTACAAATATTTGATAATGTCATGTGTGAAAAAGCCAGGCATACTTTTAATAGGAGTAGAAATTGATACTATTAATTTAAGATACCCATTCGCTTAGAAATTCTGTGGCTAAGACTCTTACCTGAGAGCTAGCATCTAGTATGCCAGCATACATTCACTGTGAAATTGCTTTATTATATCAAAATCTAGAGTTCCAGTGTCCATATGGGAACTGGATAAATTATATAATTCAGAACAGTTTGTGTTTAAGAATGAAATTATTAGCCAGCCTGATCGCTCGGCGGGCTAAAGTGCCTGCTTAGGCAGGGCACAAGGGCCGGGTTTGATCCCTGGCATGCTGTGCTGGTCCCACCCATGGGGCTTGCCTGTAATCCCAGTGTTTGGGAGGCTGAAAACAGAAGAATCACTACAAGTCCGATCTGTGTAGTAAGACCCTGTAGACATGTCCTAAATAGAGAAAATAAATGAAAATGAAATTATTGCTGGGTGTGGTGCTACATGCTCATAATCACAGTACTCTGGAGTCTGAGGCAGGAAGATGGAAGTGTGTTTGAAGCTAGCCTGGACTACAAGGTAAGACCCTGCCTCAAAAAACAAAAGAGGAGGAATTAATTTATCATTATAACTATATAGGGAAAATATTAAAACTATAGTGTACTTGATTGAAAGGATGACTGATATAATAAAAGCATTATCAAGTACTATATTTGATGAGGTGGGTTTTGTTGTTGTTGTTACTGTTTTTGGTGGAACTGGGTATTGAACTAAGGCCCTTGGGCTTGACAGGGAAGCGCTTATTCTACTGAGCCATCTTCCTGGCCCTCAAGTACTATATTTGAGTTTATTTTTTTTATTTTTTTT